CGAGGCACTGTAGACTCACATGCATTATTATTGTTAATTGTGCTTGCTTTCGTGTGTGTATATATATATATATATATAGTATGTGTCTATGTGTATAAGTCATAATAATATGTAAATAGTAAAAACTCTTAGATATGATCTTTTATAGCAGCATACAGCAGCAGTGGCTACGTTTACTAATTTGATAAAACATGCACAGTGTAGCTGCAGCATAAATTGATAAATGATTTAGAAAACTAAATTCTGTACATGCAGTTTTCAAATGTCATAAATATTGATTTGGGATCCAGGTCACTCCTCAGACTCATATAAAACTGTGCATTTTACTTGTAGCAGCAGTGCATAAAAGAGAAGGATATTGGGTCATAGATCTGAACACAAAACACAGATCAAATTGATTTACTGTAAATCAACAACAGTGACATTGTACACTGAACATTGGGTTAGTGTCTCCCTCATGTAGCCAACAGGTGGCGATGTTGCTACTTTTTCACTCTGTAGTCTCTTACTGGCCTCACCTGCCTTGTGCAGACACAAAGAGACAGACACAGGTGCTTTTTCTCTAAACCGGAGACGTTTAAAATGAGATATACTGCTAAGCTCTGATTACCTGATTTCTATGAAGTACCAAGCATGTTTCTTATATATTGCACAAATCAAACAGCAGAGCAAACTCTATGGAGAATGTGTAGGAGAAAAACAGCCAAGTGAACACATGATAAGGAGTGAGCATGGGCTGTGTGTTGGTACTCGACCCCCACCACCGGTTGCCTTGCCAGAGTGGTGCATTGTCTCATCTCAGACATCCTCCTTTCTCTCCCACCATGACATCATCGGTAACCTCGGAGACTCCCTGAATACTGGCCGACCCAGGAAATGAGGTTACAACTTTGGAATGTGAGAGGGAAGACAACAACTATACCCCCCCCACCAGTCCAGCACCCACTCAGCCTTCCCTTTCTTGTCCCTCCCCATCACAGCAGAACAAGGAGGGCCTTCTTCTCTCTCACGCCCCTCTTCCTCCATGACTGACGACTCTATTAAGTCCATGAAAACCTGGTTGTCCAGTGAAGTCACAGTAACATTTACTAACCAGAGACCGGCGGATGTGGGTGGGTGAGGGGGGAGTGGGGGTTATATCACAGCATCATCTACAAACAAACCTTTTCACACTACACTCCTAATTTGATGCACACAATAGGTTGATTCAAAAAAAAAATTTCACACTTCACTATAAGAATTTTGGGTTCATAAGTCCACAAATGTGTAAAACTATTAACAATACCACCACTTACCTGTATAAATACTTTTGCCTACACACTATATAGAAGAAAAAAAACAAGTGCAATTTGTCATAGCTCAGTCTCTCATTTGAGAGGGTGACCAGTATGCTATTTGGTCTCAGTATCTGGTCGTGACTCATATAAAAGAGGCGACACAGTGGAGAGCACTGCCCCACACAACATGTGTTTCTAAAGCAGTTACAGTGCATTTCAGAGTAAGACAGCCTAGGGCTGCTATTAAGTGCTTCTGGTAAGGAAACATGCTCTAATGGAAGGTTACAGTACGTGATATGCATGTTTGGGAAACAATGATACGGTGCATCTACAGTGTATTTGTTGTAATAATAATAAGGATGTTGATCTGAAATCAATTTGAAGTCAGGTTTGGATGGTCATATGATGATGTGAATTTTGATGGGATTAAAACTTTATGAAGTGATCTCTACTCTTAACCTTAAAATCCCTGTATGGCTTCTGATATGCATAGTGTGATATGTTTTACAGTAATGTTATTTTCTCCATACATAAATACAAATCTGTCCTAAATTTCAGTCTCCGGGTGGATTGGAATAGGGCTTATCAGCTTTCTGAGAGTTACATGAGAATATTAATATCACTTCCATGTTCCAGGTGGTGACGGGGCAGTGGATAAGACTCATGCCTTTGAGAGCCCCAGGTTCAATTCCCCACTGTGACATATCCACCAATGCGTCCCTGAGGAAGATTTTATCGCTAGCTGCTGTCTTCTCATCTCCTCTGACATATATTGCAATTGTTAAGTCGCTTTGGATAAAAGCGTCAGCTAAATGAATAAATGTAAATATCTGTTAAATATATTATGCCACAGCCAGCACCTGGTTATCTTAGCCTGGAAATGGGGATAAAAGCTAGCCTAGCCCACCTCCCAGCACCTCTAAAGCTCACTGATTAACAGGTGGTTTTCCAACTCATTATGGGCGAGACTTCTTCTTGGCTGTGAGCAGAAACTTCCTGGAGTCTCTGCTGGTTGCCTGCTAAGTTAAACCATGTTAATCTGTGAGTTTTAGAGGTGCTGGTTGGTGGATTTTGTTACCTTTGGACCAAGCAAGGCTAATTGTTTCCCTCTCTTATGCTAAGTTAAGCTAACTGGCTGCTGGATGTAGCTTCATTTTGAATGTACAGAAGACAAAAGAGTGGTATTAATTTTCTCTCCCCATTAACTCTTTGCCAGAAAGCGACTAAGCGTATCTTTCAAAATGTCAATCTATTTCTTTAATTTCTTTATTGATTTGTTCATTGCTTGATCAACTTGTTAATCAGCTGTCTTCAGTGCTGGGTCTCCACCTCCACCACAGTCCAGTCTCCAGGTGGGGAGCTGCCCTGGCTGTCTGGGGAGTAGCTGCTGACAGAGGTGACTGTAGCGGCAGGAGGGCTGAACTGGGGCAGCATATTGGGCCACATGCTGCTCTCCAAGGGACTCAAGGTGCCCCCTGTCCCCACAGGCAGGAGGAGGAGAGGAGGGCAGCCTCTGTCTCCAGACAGCATCAAGGTCTGGTTGATAAGCTGCTGGACCATGTCCACCTTCTTGTTCCATTCCAGTTCCTGCGGAGGCAACGGACGCAGCTGCCTCTGGAAATTCTGTGTGACGCTTTGGGAGGACAGCACCCTCTTCCCTACCAGCTGTGTGTTCCTGTTACGCTCTCCTCTGACCTCGTCCTCCTCATCGCTGGTTTCCATGGCTTCATAGATGGTGCAGAGCCCTGACGATGGGGAGAGCATGACTCCAGTTGGGCTCCTCCTCAGCTGCTGCTGCTGCTGTTGGATCTGTTTCTGCTGCATGCGGTACTGCTGCTCTAACTCCAGCTGCCACTGCAGAACCTGCCTGCGGTTCCGGTGCTCCTGCTGCTGCTGCTGCAGCTGCAGCTGGAGGAGCTCCCTGCGCTGCTTCTCCAGCTGCTTCTGCTGCTCCAGCCTCAACCGCTCCTCCTCCAGCCACTGCCTCTTTTGCCTTTCCTGCTCTTGACGGTGCTGCATCTCTCTCAGCTTCTCTTGGTGCTGCTCCAGCCTCCTTAACTGTTCTCCACCAGTGTGGCTGTCAGCATTGGTCTCTATCAATAGAGGCGGGGATGCGATCTTGGCAAAACGTGCTGCAAGAGTCGGATCAATGGGCCTCCTGTTGCCTGGGACCAATGCCAAGTAATGGCCATTGGCTATAGGAACAGTGGTGGTGTGGTTCTGGTTCCGGTTGTCTTCCTGCGAATGTGCCTGCAGCTTGTGATCTTCATCCGCTTCGTCTGTCTTCTCGTCTCCTGTGAGACAGTCAACATCACTTGGTGCATCCATTAGAGATGCATGCATCAAACTGAACGGGTGGAACAACAGGGACCAGGAAGAAGAGGGTTCAGGATAGTTTTGACAAGAGGGTGAAGGTGTAACGAAAAAATAAAGGGGCTCATAAAATAAAGTGACATCCATGACACAGGAATACTGTATCTAGAAAACAGCAAACAGGAACGAATCACAAGGTAGTTACTACATGATGTTTTCTCTCAGAAGTTGCATTTTCTTTAAAATATGTTCCTTTGAATGCTTTAATAATGTAAACAGTACATAGATACCACACTCCTATCTGCTGCTTCGTCCTCTTTAAATAAGTTGGTTATCATGCAAGACAGCAGCCATATATTCCCAGTGCAGTACAGACAACAGGTATTTGAGGAGACAAATGAAAACATGGGGGATCATAACGACAAAAACATCACAAGTGACTACACTAAAGTAATGTATGGCATAAATGTAAAACATAAATATTTATTTTGGGTGCCCCAATGTAACTGTTTATTTTAAAAAAGGGAAGCAGTGGTGTCCCAAAAGACAAACCTGAAACAGGACTTGCAGAGTGTCACGAATACTTGAACAATTTTGAAAAACGATCAAAGCGTTGTGTGAGGTTTTGATACAGGGGTCTGGGGTGTTTTTCCCCATGTCAGGGTTTTGATGAAAGGGAGCAGGCAGGTCAGAGGAACAATGCATGAAAGGGAGAACAGTGTTTGGTCTTCTTGAGCTTCAACATTCAGATGCATTCAAGTGGCTCGTACAAAGAGGCGCTGATTCAGGAGGATGCATGTAGGTTTCAAAGTGTTCAAAGCTCTTGTGTGTAAAAACCTTGATAGGTATAAGGTGTATTTCCTGCATAATTACTGTACCACCAGTAGTGCTATGGAAAAATGTATAGTGGGTAAATAATGTTTTGTTTGTGCGAGTGTGTTGACTGATCGACAGTTGGTGGCGATAACGCACCAGCAAATGTAGGAATGCTCCACCAAAGGCAAAAAAGAAGGTAAATAAATTACACAAGTTTGTCAGACCTCCAGGTGAAAAACACTGACTGTAAACATGTTTACAAGAAACCTACACAGGGTAAGTGGGCGCCACTTGCCAAAGATGTGGTCTGAATGTGAAGTTGAAAAGTCTGAAAAGGCATATGCATGCTGGAGAACAGGGCACTGGGACACCATCTGGATTCCCTCATGGATTTGATCAAAATTCCATTTTTCGATACAACACCATTGTACAATGTTGCATCACTTCCTGTTTACCGATTATTCTCATGGTGAAGAGGAGGACACACCATGGGAAATTAGATGTATAAACATACAAATACACAGCGACTCGAACACAAGGACAGTAAGTTCAGGCATGCTGGATCCATAGGGAAAATAAGAAACAGGAACAAAATGCCTTGCAATGATGTTTTAATGGAATTTTGAAAGATAACCTAGTGTGAACCATTCATTTATGAACATGTCTAGTGTAGAATTGTTTCAAAGTCAAGGTAGTACACAGTCTTGTTAGTTAAACATGCAATATACTGTTGAAATAGTAAACCAAACGCCCACTATGAAAATGTTTCAGCGTAAAGCTCAACTGTGATAGCGATGAAGGACAATGCAGGGTCTCATCACAAATAAAAGGCTAGTAAGTTAGTCTCTTCTGGAACACAAATGATCAGCTAACTGAGGCTCAAAGCTTAGCCACTTAAAACCAAATGCCTGAAACACATACTGTACGTGACTGCACGTTATATACCTTAACAACCTATGCAAAGAGCGTAGCACCTCTTGAAGCACACATTAAAAACTTCACCAGCTGCAATCTAATACTCCCATACCTACCGCAACAAATCTGTAAGGGCAAAACAGCCGTGTTAATATCTAGCCTTTATTTTGATAGCTAAAAAAGTCTTGAATCAAGAACACAAACTTTTAAAAGGAGCATTTGACTATCGCTATGGTGCTGTTGAACATGAAGCGTGTGTACACAGGGTAGGGAGGACCAGGTTTCAACAGAAAAAAACCCCAACAAAAAAGCAAATACAAAACAAAAAAATCATTGACATTTGTTCGGTAAAAACAGTAGGATAAATACACAATGAGTCCATTTTATTCCATCTGTTGTGTTTTTTGTTTTTTTCTTTTTTGGTCACATTGGACCAATCAGTCAGTACCCCATCAGGGGCTACAGAGTATGCAGTGTTACTTAAAAAGAACATACTACTAGAAAATGGTAGTAGCTATTGTACATAAAGGAGTTTCAGCCATACACTCATAACCATGACCATAACAGTATGAAAGAGGGAGGCTTCATTTAAAAATTGCTACAGTCATTTTTTCCCCGTCTCATTTGTTCTTTTTTTTTTTTCTTTCTTTTCCTACAATCTTGCTCTCCTTTATTTTTCTTCTAAGCCATCTAAGCCAACTGGAGAGAAAACGAACAACAGGTAAAGGGGGAGGGTTGCGGGGAAAAGGTGCATTCCAGGGGTAATAGGAGGGACTTATACGTTACCTGCCAGAAAACTATCAGTCTTATCACATATGGTAGAGTAGTAGGGTGGCTGGCTGTCACCGGTGTCTCCAGATTCCTGGGCCCCAAGATGGTGACTGGGCTCCAACGGATCAACCTCCTCCAGGTGGTCTGCTGCAATCTTTCCCCCAAACAAGTAGTGGTGCTCATCTAGACTGGGCTGGTTCTCCCCTGGGTGACCCAAAGGCATCAGGTCCACGGGTCTGCCCAGCAGGTCCTCTGCCTGGGCAGCAGCAGCAGCAGCAGCTGAGGTCAGCGTCAGCTCCTTGATGAGGGAGGGGTCCTTGGCCTCCTCTGGCAGCTGTTCCTCATTCTCCAGCGAGAAGATCCCTGGGCTCTTTCCGCAGCTCTCAGCCATGGAGTGGGCGTTGGAGTTGGATGTGGTGCAGTCGAAGCCGTAAGATGCCACAGAGTTGGCGGACTGAGGCGTGGCCCCACCTCCGTCCTCTTCGCCCTCTCCGGCTGTTGCGTCCGCCGCCTCCTCATCCTCCTCAAGAGCGGGCAGATTACAGGTTGGAGGAGGGCTCTCAAATCCAGCACTCTCATCCATCGTCACCGGTGCTTCGGGGTCATTTATTTGCATCTCACCCTCTGTGTCGCTGGCCTCGTCTCCTGAGGTGGAGGGGGAAGACGGGGCGGATGCTGGAGCAGTCGGAGGCCCTGTTCCTAGGATCTCATCGGCAGGGAGTGTCTCAGCCTCCTCCTCTTCTCCATCACCTTTCTCCAAGTGAATACCCAGGTCCTGCTCCATGTCAGGCTGGACTGAAGCCGGCACTGGGGTCTGCTGTTTGTCTGAACGGGACTCCACCCCAGAGCTGCTGTCATAGTCGCGGAGCTCTTCCGGTGTGCTTGTCTCACTACTGCTATGGGCGGCCAGAGCTGTGCCACTCAGAGTGCTGGGCTGGGTCATGCCTTCAGCTTGGGCAGCAAGTAGGACGTCGTCAGCCTCCTCTGGGGCTGACTGATGCTGCTGGGGCTCCTGCTCTGACTGAGGAGCAAAGGAAGGGGCACTCCTGTCCAAACATGCCTGGGCAGGAGACAGGGTGGGCGTTTCAGATTCAGCTGCACCATGGTCAGAAACGGGGCTGGGGGAGGAGACAGTGCGCAGTGAGGCTGGTTGAGCCCAGGGATCAGAGAAGGGGTTGGTCTGGCCCCAGGAGGGGGAAGGGGGGACGCATGGTGGAGGACCAGAGCGATTGAGGTTGTCTAAACGCTCCTCCTCATTGAAGTCATCTTCATCTACATTCCCACAGCTCTCTGTCACTCCTTCGCTGTGCATCTCTATATCTTCGTCCTCCTCGTACTCATCGTGCTCCTGCTGCTGGAACACCTTCTGATGCTCCTCTGCTCTCTCTGAACTCAGGTCCATATCATCCACCCGCTCGTCCTCTTCATCCTCATCTTCCTCTTCCTCGTTGGCCAGGGTTTCCACGTTGGGAGAACCCATGAGATTACCGTCTCCCTCAGAGCCACGGAGGCTCGAGTCGACCAGGGCGTCTGAGCTCTGGGTGCCTTCCAGTATGGCAGTGTGCTGGGTGCTGCTGAGGTCAGAGACTCCCTGCTGCCGACTGCTGGTGCAGCTGCTCACATCCTCAGAGTCCATCCCAGACAGCAGGTCGTCACCGTGCCACCCTGCTGAACCACCAAAGGCTGAGGACCTGACTTGGAACTCCTCAGAGGGCTGAGATGTGCTCATGTCAGTGACCATGGATGATGGCAGATGGCCTAGCCTCCTCTGTTCCTCATCTTCATCCTCCTCCTCATCATCGTCGTCCTCATTTATCTCCTCATCAGCCTTTTCCAGGGCCTCCTCTTTTTCATGAGGGGAGATCAGGTGCCTGGAGGTGAAATCATCCACAGGCGAGGCACCCATCAAGTGAGGCTGTGCCATCATACTGAAGGCCTCTGCAGATGGAGCTGAGGACGTAGGCATAAACAGGTTCTCTTTCTCATCTTCCTCATCCTCCTCATCCTCCTCCATTTTCTCCTGTGCCTCAAACTGTTCTTTATTCTCCTTTTCCTCTTCTGTCTGGGAGTTCATCATATTGACTAGGCTCTGCGGAGCAAAGTCAGATGGAGCCAGGGACTGGTTCCTGTCCCAGGGATCAGACTGGATGTCCAGCAGAGAAGAGGCATTATGCGGTTCTCTGACGGGGGAAACAGGGCCTGGTGGGGAACAAGGAGGAGACATGACAGTAGTTCCCAGGGAAGAAACTGAGTCGTTGGCAGACTCCTCGTATTTGAAAAGGTCCATCTGAGCTGACATCTGAACATTGGAGGCTGCTTCATGGACTGGATCAGCTCCTAGACCTGGCTCTGCTGATGGCTGAGATAGTGGTTCTAGAAGGGGCTCTGTAGATATTTCTCGTACAGGTTCTGGCGTCAGTTCTTGTATGGGTTCTGGTGTCGGTTCTCGTATGGGTTCTGGTATGGGTTCTGGTGTCGGTTCCCGTATGGGCTCTGGTGTCAGTTCCCGTACGGGTTCTGGTGTCAGTTCCCGTAGGGGTTCTGGTGTAGGTTCCCGTACGGGTTCTGGTGTAGGTTCCCGTACGGGTTCTGGTGTCAGTTCCCGTACGGGTTCTGGTGTCAGTTCCCGTACGGGTTCTGGTGTAGGTTCTCGTAGGGGTTCTGGTGTAGGTTCTCGTAGGGGTTCTGGAGTTGGTTCTCGCACGGGCTCTAACACTGGTGCAGAGACTGGTTCTGGTGTTGGGTCTGTAGATTTTTCTTGTACTGCTTCAGTCTGGCTGGACATCAGTTCTGGTGCAGCAGATTGCTCCACAGCTGCTCCTGCAGGAGGTTCTGGTTCCTCTCGTCCGGCAATGACAGTTGCTGCCGCAGCAATAGCTGCAGCAGCAGCTACAGCAGCAGTTATTTCCTTTACAGGTTCTGCAACTGTTGCAGCTTTGGGGCCACGTTTCACAGGAGTTGGGGTGCTGCTGCCCACAGTCTTCTTGGGGCTGGAGGTCTTGGTGGCAGCCGGTTTGGAGCCAGGGGTCTTGGAAGCATCCTTGGAAGGTGTGGGCTTACTGTCTTGTTTTTTGGAGCTGTTGGGTGTCTTTGTGTCTGCAGTCTTACTAGCAGTAGGCTTTTTGGTGGTGACATCTGATTTTGAAGCAGATTTTGGGGTCTCAGGTTTTGCAGACTTCGTTGTAGTGGAAGGGCGAGTAAGGGGGGACTCTGCAGGCTTTTTGGATGCTGGGGTGGCTGGTTTGGTAACATCTGGGGGGGAAACACAACACAAGGAATAGTTAAACGATGATTAGATAAACTAAACTACAGCTTATTATAATGCACATAAAACCCTTTCTGTAAAAGATACATTTACATTACACGACCCTGGTTTAAAATGAAGGATGTGGAACAAACTTAACTTTGTACAAACAGCATCCCTGCTCATGACTATATCTTCTTTTTTTAAATGTTTTATTTTTACCTTTTTTCACAGGGGTTGTGTTTCTGGATGTTTGTGATGCTGGTTTGCCAGCAGAGGGGGTAGTGGAGGTTGGTTTGGAGGCAGCAGGCTTGGTAGCGGTGGAGGAGGTTTTAGGGGTGGCAGGTTTGGCTGTGCTGGTAGTGGGTGGCCGGGTTGAGCCAGTGGCAGGACGAGGTGATGCTGACGCGCCAGTTGTAGGCCTGAAGGAAAAAGAAGAGGGTTGAGAAATACTGAGAGGAACTACAGCATAGAGATCTGGTGAAGAGAACAATGCTCTTTTTTCAAATATCTCTCATTAGGCGATCATCAAAATCCCCATGAGAAAGACATATTTAAGTGAGCTCAATAAGATGGTGGTTTCCTTACTTAAAAAAATACAAGGGATGAAGATTAATTGAAGGTGACTCAAGTGTTGTTGGCTGTTGTTAAGCCATTCACAGCTAGGGGCAAACAGGTCTTTCCTTGACCATGTGCTGGTCAGCACTATGCTTTAAGTGGCTCCAAATGATTGTGACAGGGAGCAAGACTTTGACTTCTCACTTGTTAGTCACCCTAAGAGCCAGCACAAACACACGCAAGGTGGCTTGCATGGATTGCAAGACAAAAAATCAATTCAGTGGGATGTAGGCACAAGGAGAAGATGGACGGTTGTTGTTAATAGGTACATCTGTAAACAAGAGAGAACACCTATTTTAAAGTCCTTACATTGGTTGTCAATCAATTTTTGTATTGATTCTGATTATTGTTTTTCGTTTTTTACTTGCACCTGTCTGGCATGAGTCTGTCAGTCAGTTGTTCCAAAATGCAGGGAAAAAACCTTTAATGAGGCAGCTTTTAGTTTTGATGCTCCGAGCCGTTGAAACAGTCTGTCTGAGGATCTGAGAGCAGCTGTTAGGCTAATCTCCAAACAGAAAATTAAAACCTACCTCTTTAGCCTGGCTTTTGATTAGAATGTATTATTTATTTTATATTATCGTGTATTGAATTAATTCCCTCTTACTCATTTTATTTACTGTCTTATTTATTTTTTTTATTGGTTTTATTATAAAAATTTCTGTGTGCAGTCTTGAATTAGCTCTTTTTGTCTAATTATCACCTCATTCAGTTAAGCATATTGAATTGCACCAACCTGTACAAATAAAGTTTGATTGATTGTAACAGACTTTGAGCCATTAGCATGCCATGACGAATTTGCATTTTCTAAATAATAATAACTCAATTCTGTCTTTAGTTTGTCACCATCTAAAACAACAGGCCCAGGCCCAGGGCGCTCTTCTACAACCCCATGACAAACTCCCCTGAGGGTTATGAAGAGAAGCCGTTTGAGAGGTGAGTCACAACGGACCCCAGAGAGGCATCTCCACCGCAGTCAACCTTGTCCCTCATCTCTTGTCTATACCCACTCCGCGCAAGGGACTGACACTTGGGGCAGTATGCATCAGCCTGCCTGCTCTGACGGCCTGCCTGGCCCAGAAGCTGAGCGAAGTAACCTACATCTAGTAGTCCTGACAGGGCTGTGGTGTGCAATCTCATGGGCCACGCTACACTAACTGCCTGATTCTAAATAAAGAATTGAGCTAGCACTGGCAGAATGAGAACAGGGAGAGCGAAGATGGCTGGGACCATGTTAATCTTTAATACTGAAAGGAGAACAAAAATAACTTCTCCAAATCCCCCAGCTGGAACTATGGGCTGTGTTAAAAGCACACTCATTGTACAAGGGCAATGAAGTAGTGTGTGCTTCTCACAACATGGCAAATGTAATGGAACACGGTTTGGTAACATGAAATAAGATTCAAGCCAGGCAGCAACGGGTGGCAACACAATAGGGGTGTGGTCACATCAGAAGTTCAACAAAGCTTTTACAGTCATTTAGAACTGGCTTTGGGGTAGTGAAAGGTGTGTTTACTGATACAGAGATTGTTGGATCATGTCAGTGCGGTTATGCTAATATAAAAGCCTTCTGGCTATGCAGAAAAACTGAAAGACTCATGCTTGACTCATTGATTTACAGTGTTTAGAGCTGACCATGTTTACTGGAAAATCAGACAGGTCGGAAAATGCTGATGAGGAAATTTGATAGTAAACTTGTTAGTGTTATTGTAGCACAAGAAAGACCTTCATGCTTCTGTAGTAGAGACAGTATAAAAGACACAGAGAGAGATGAAAATGATTATCTGGCCAAGTGGTGACATGCAGGCAAAGAGTTGCACTAAATCCTATGCTGAAATGCAGTGCTGGCTAAGGGAAAAACCTTTTTTAACAATAAATAAATAACTTCAGTCAGACAGTTAAGTCTGAGCAAATACATTTCATTTAAAAATATCTTCTCTTCTCTGTTAGATTTCTAATGTGTCCTAAGCTTACATTGGGTAACGATGAGTGAGATGTTAAGATTTTAAGCCTAAAATTGTTCGCCAATGAACAAGGTGCCAAAAGGTGAAATGAGAATAAGCTCTTACAAAAATTGGAGTCGGCGTTGCCTGAATTAGGGAGTAAAAGACAAAAGAATTACAGGCAAAGGAGAAGGGAGAGAATTAAAAGATACAGAACCTGGTACTAGAGTCGAACTATGCTGAGAGGATATTCACAATAATCTGTTTGATTAAAAGGAATATGGATAATCCGAGAAGGCAGGACTGCTTTCTAGAGCACTGGAAATTAACAGGCCTCAGACAAAGACAGAGGAGGGAGATAGAGAGAGAGATGGGAAGGGGGTAGGGACAGATAATATTCATCCAATTACACATTATCTTATATCAATATCTTCTTCTTGCTTATCCAAGAAGGCAGTCTGCACAGTTGAATACCAATTTACAGTATTTAAGAGAGCAGGCCACAGTAAATTAAGGCCTTGTGTTCTGAGGTCAGAAGTTGTTTAACAGTACTTGGCTATGATGACAATGCCTGAATACAGTAATAAAATGACGCTTGAATTATTTCAAGCCTCCATTTATTTTGTAATTAAGCTCACTGTCAGCTGAATGACAGAGAAGACTAAGAGTTATTGTAGTCTTTAAATGATGCTGCTTTGCGTCTACATTTAACTCAATGGGCAGCTTGTAGGGAAAAAAAAAAAAACTGTGTTCATTGTTCACATTTCACCACAGGCCTTGCTGAGAGAAACAACACTTTAAATTGGGGTTAAAGCAAATGTTGAGCAGACAGCCCAGAAATGCACTGGAGCTGAAAAATCAGAGGACTCTGGCTGTTAGTTGCTAGAGGCGCACTGAAGCACACAGCAAAATAGTTCGTTTTGGTCGCCTGAGGAATATTAATAACATTTAAGCTTTATTGCAGCTACGCATTTCCTCAATCACTGGAGCAGAGAAAGGATTGCTGTGTGTAAAAACATGGTTGCCTGCTGGTGCTGCTTTGTTCCAATGACAACAAGAGTCAGGCTATGATTTAAATAATCAGATGCACCATCAAAGGAGCGAGTGAGTAAGCAGGAGCTGAGCAAGCATGCAGGCAGACATCTTCCCCGCAGCAAAGGCAACAAACTATGGCGGAAGGGCCTCCCTCCTTTCAAGACAAGCAGAAAATTAAAGCTGATGCGGTGTTAATTAAGCACCAGAAATATGGAGGGTGGATCTTCAACCCGGGGCCTCATTTATAAAATTTAAAAACAGGGCTGGAAACGTGTGTTCGCCACTTCCCAAGCAAAGGTTGTGATCTATAAAAAACAATCTTGACATGAGAATGTGCAGTCCTCCACGCAAACTCTGAGGCATCCTGAGTATTGTAGGCCAATAAAAAAGTTAATATAATTTAATACTACATGAGTTAATTTGCAAAACAGATGAAAGCCTTTCTGAGTAAACAAAGACCCGTTTGACTGATTTTCCCTGAAGTGCGCAATAAATCATTTGCAGCGCACACAAAGAGAACCATGATTTAGGATAATAAATACAAACAGAGATATCTGTTTCTGCAAAAGAATAACTCAAATGTGTTGTACAGTTTAATCGGGAATCATATTATCAATACTTGCATACAGTGCAATTTATTCTCATAAATAAGGTGAACAGCAGGACAAATTACATTTAAATTGATGCCGTATTCAATGTGTCAGTCAAGCAAATATGAGTGCATAGTTTCATATAGTGTGTTATCACATGTTCGTTACCAATCGAGCCAAACGCTGTGCGCTATCGTGTTGCTTCGTTGCTTATGTTATTTAAAACAAGTCTTTTCTAATTCATCAGCAGCCTGTTTAAACACAAGTGGAATACATTTGGTTTACTCTCTTTTCAAAGGGGGAATGCAAATTAGTACCCGGGTCATCCAATCTTGAGTATGTGTGTCCCCCTCCACCACCGCCACTACTCAGGATTGATGCACTTTCCCGGAGATCAATTATAAAGGGGTGGAGCTCCGGTGCCCCCTTTCCTCCAGTGCACAAGCGTTGTGTGTATGTATGCTTTTTACTCACCGAACAACACGCTTCAGCTTCACCAAAACGAACATCATTGTCACACTGGGTTAAATTTTCTTCTGACTTCTTGTTCTTCCTTTCCTAATGTACCTCTACGGTTCAATAGGAGCAAGGAACCCACTGTGGTAGCCATAAGGTTGAATTTAGACCAAATCAGGCGCTGTGGCAAAAATGCCAGTCCTCCTATTCATTTGAATGGGGCTAGTCTGTTTAGGCTGCAGCGATAGTGGTCGTAGTGGATGCCAAAACCCAGCTAAAATTCACCGATCCGGTAATCAGACCGGTCAAACTGTTCACAGTCAGCCTGAATATCAATGAAGCGGAGTTCATGGCCCAAACTATACTCTCCCAGTTATGTCCTTGCTTGGTTTATTTCGTGTACCCTGCTTTGACATCTGTGTCTGGCTTGCAAAGAAAGCGAGACAGCAACAGTCGAGGGATCTAGAGAGTGACTGAGGAGAGGGGGCGGTGGCAGAGAGAGAGCTGATGACTCAGAGAAATAAAATGTTATATTTCTAATTGTTTCACAGTGGTTACACTCTAAAGCACAAATAAACCCGCCCACACCGCCACACAACCCTGTGGCTAATCGCTGTGGCTAATCGCTGCAAAGCCTGATTTGATCTGAATTCAGACTAAGCCATGGTGGTGTCTACCTGTCAGCCTGCCACACTGCTCTGCAGCAGCAGCAAAGCATAAAGTGCAGACCCAGGAGCTCAATGTTCATGTAGATACAATTCCACCTCAACCTGATGAAGAGTA